TGACTGCACAAAATTCACCTGTTTTTATATGACTTTTACCCTGAGCTGAGATTGACTTTCACAAATGGACATGAATAACTACCTTGTGAGGATATCTAGTTGCTAATACATCAGAAAAACAAAGTAGAAATGAAGCTTCAACTAACTATGATATACAGCCTTCTTTCTTGAAAATATGCTCTTTATGGAAAGGTAAATTCCACCCTGGGGATCCAATTCAAAGAAACACTTATATTAGCTCTACTGGAATTTATCTACACACAAAACAGTATTTTAATGCAGCATTCAGCACTGGATATAGTTTCCTGAGGAAACTTCTCCCTTCAGGGGAAAGTGGATTTTTGAAAAGCAGAGAAGAACCCCCCAAGCCAAGCTCTGGAAATAAGCTACATTTCTTAAAATTAAGCAATGTTTTCTGTACTCACGCAGCAGTACAAAGAAGAGGAGTGAAGCCACTGCAGCCCTACAGAGCTTTCCAACGTGCTGGCTCATAGTGCTGATCTCCCTGTACGGTCTCCCTGTCTTTGCCTCTCTCCTCAGTAGCACGGGCAAAAGAGTCTGTGCGCGTTGTTGCAATGGGAGCTCACATTCTGCCCAACGACTGTCACCCTCGCTAAAGTTACCACAGCTTTGCGTCCACAGCACTCTGCTTGCTGCCTGGATGGCAGCCACGTTTTAAGCACAACAATGACTTCCCAGGGGCCGCTCTGATCTCTTGCAGAGAAGATGCCAAAAATGCTCTAAGAGCAGAGAGGAGATAATCTTTTTTTTTTTTTTTAACTTTGGCCTTGTATAAACCAGAACTTTGGACTGAGTACAGAATAGTCAGGTATTCAGGAGAAGACCTCTCTTCTGCTAAACCTTCCCTAGAGAAAGTGAGAAGAGTGCAAGCTTTGGCTTAATTTTCCAAGCAGCTGGGCTCTTGTTATTCTTACTGACTGCTTGTGGCTATATCCACCCTCTGTACACCTAAAACATATCCCCCAAGCTGATTTTTTTTCCAGCAAAGAACAAATCCTGATTAACCAAAAATTGATTACTTGAAATTCATTATAAGTAAAGGTTGTCTATGCCACCCAGGAGAAGGGCAAAACAGCTGAAACTGACCTTCGGGTAAATCAAATTGTACTTTACTCCATTCCACATCCACTGAAACACAAACACAGCACATTTCTGCAAGAGAGGCATGCATATGACTACTTTTCTTAGTAATTACAAGTAAAAAAAAGACCAAAAATAAAAAGAAACAACAACAAAAAAAAAACCCAAAAAATCTCACTATGAAGAAAACTGTCATAATGCTATTGCTGTATGGCTTTCTCAAATACTCTGTTCATTCATTTGGTGATTTGCATCTTTGTGTGTGGATGCTCCATACTAACTATTTCAAGAAATTGCACATCTGGCTTCCAGAAATCTGCTGACCAGGAGACATCAAGAGAGACGACACATTCTCTGGACAACCAGCTGTTGCTCTGGCTTTGATGTGGTGACATCTATATCAGAGACAGTAGGATGGGCCAGAGGGGAGGACGGCTAAAGAACCTAAAAGGCAAATATTTCTTCCCTGTTTTAAATGGGTCAAAAGAGTGGGAATATCCAGCATTTCCAGGAAGGGATCACTCAGAAATAAAGTGTGTATGAAGAAGGGTTTGGGGAAGAGCAGAGGAGCACAGCAGTTCAGCACAGAGTTGAAAGGTGGATTATGAGGCTTTTCTGGAGGAAATACTTAAGAGAATTAAGAAAGAAATAAGTTAGAGGAGTCAACAACAATCACCTTTTTGAGGACTGAATAATCAATAAAACCAAAGGCATTTGGCAGATCAAGCGAACTGAGGAGGGTTTAGTCACTGGCCATGTCTGGATATCAGAGCAGATAACATGGGGAATTGGTTCAAAGGAATTGAAAACAGCATTTGGTTTAAACTCCAAGTGTTCGGTGCAGTCCTAAAAAGTCCTTAGAGTGTGTCCTGATGGACATGCTGCAGTCACTCCTGCCATTGCTGGTTATATTCCTTTCATCCTATAATGATAATTCTTTTGTGAATCCTCCATTAAAAAAGACATGCCAGCAAAATGGTTGGGCCGTCCAGCCTCTAACCCAGGCAATAATTAAGGCAGTTTTTGCAGTCATCATTTGAACATAGAGCTTCTCACACTTGGATAATTCAGGGTGATTAAGAGTGAAACTCAATTCTGGGACACAAAGAGAAGTAATCTTGTCCCCCTGAGTGTTGTCGAGAAAAACTTGAAAAAAAATTAGTTTCAGGGTTCCAAATCAAGAAAGCAAGTAACAAAACAAAAAGAAAAAATAAAATATGCCTTCTTTTTAACACCTTTTGGTAAAATGCAAAGACTTGGGGTCAACATCATTATAAGTATGCTGTCTGTGCCCAGGGCTGCCAGGGGACCTGAGTCACGGGGCCAAGTGCTTCCCGTGCAGGAAGGGTCGGTGGAAACAGAAACTAACAGCTCGTCTAAGGACAGCCGCCACACTCATTGGGAAGACCAGTGCTGCCATGATGTTGGCACTGTGCAGGGAGCAGAAGGGATGGATGTGGACAATGGCAGGACCTGGAGCCAGGTAGCCAGAGGGGAGCAGCACAAAACGGCGGCTGGTGCAGGGGGACCAAAGCGTCTCTTTGGGGGCGGCAAACAGCCACCTGGCGGGGGTGAGGGGCAGCCGAGTGGGTGCAGGGGGTGTGTTTGGGAGCCTGACATGAAGGGACAGGCCAGAACTGAGGGGATGGCAGGACTGGGGTGATGTGTGAGGCTGGGCCACAGGAGGGGAGCACCACAAAATGGTGTCTGGCACAGGAGGACTGGGGCACCTCTGTGGGCCTACGGCACCTAAGACTCGAGGGCACAAAGGTGCCGGCCATCAGCGTTTCAGCTGGGTCCGCTGATGGGTCGCAGGGCAATTCGTCACAGCCAACTTGACCTCCTACATGCAAAATCTGGGGCGTTCGCACCTTCGACGGAAATCACCTGGGGCTGCTCAGCAGCTCTGCAGAGGACAGCGTGGGTTTCTGACAGGAGCTCTGTGAGGTGGAGATGGCTGAAACCCTGTCTTCCTCCCTCCTTCCCCTATGTGTTGCCGGGGTCATGCAGAGCAGTGCATGCAAGGGCGGAGCAGTAAACGCCGAGTCCCTGGCCCTTCTTGCACATGCTTAGGAAACGCAGGCACACGATGGGCTGGCAACGCGGCGTTTAACCCTCAGAGGCTCCCCTCCCCGAGAAGCAGCTTTGCTCGGCAGGAGCGCCAAGAAAACGCCGCTCACGTCTGGCTCTCCCTGAACGCTCGCACTCGCAGCGTCCTCCCCGGCGTGTCCTCTAGGTGGCCCTCCGCAATAGCGTTTAAAACGCATTTTCCGTTTAACCCTGAACCTCACTGCCAGACCGATGGATTACATAATAACTTGAGATTAAAAAGGAAATCTTGTTACCCCCCCCGCCATATTTGTTGAGGACTTTTAACTCAAAACTGGCTCCTTAAGAGCCTTGTTTTTAACAAAAAAAGCCTATGATTAACTCCTTTTGCACGGCTGAAGCTGAGTTTTAGTTATTATTTTTATTGATTTCTTTTTATTTAAACAGGGTTGTGGGCGAGAAGAGAAAGAGAGGAAAGTTGCGGGGCTCTCCCGGCCTTCCCGCTGCGGGGAGGCAGAGCGGCCGTTTCCCTCCCCCCCCCCCGGCCTCCCCGCGGCCAGGAGTTTTCCCGTCACACTTTCCAAGCTTTCCCTCAACTTTGCCACTTTCCCACCAACTCTGCCGCTTTGGGAAAGCCGCGGGAGGGGCGAGGGGGGCCTTTCCCGGGCTGCGAGGGGAGATCAGAGGCGTCGCGGTCCCCCCCGCCCCGGCCTTTCCCGGCCCCCCGCGGGCCGCCCGGCGGGCACACAACGTCTCTCCGCGCCTCTCC